TGAGAGCCAGATAAAAAAGAAATGGGAAAAGGAACTGAGTAAAAATAGACCTTGGTCAATGAACTTCAGTGAAATGGTCCAGTAAATAAGTGGCAAAGCAGCACTGAGGGTCCCCATGAGGCTGAAGTAGATAGATAGGAAAGAAGCCTGAAATAATAGAGCTAGACTCTAGGATTTGGAATATGAGCTTTACATGTGCCACGGACTTGCTCTACTGATTTCTTCTGCTTGGTGGGGTTGACTCTTTGTTTCTATGAGATATAAGAGGAAAGAGTTTCAGTTTAGTTAAATTTTACCCAACAGATGTGATAGGAAGGATCCCATTATTAGGAAGGATATAGCCAAAAATAACTTGTAATTAATTCTGAGCTGATGGATTCTTAAAGAGAACTTTTGGTTCAAATAACCAGAAAAAGTGTTTTTTTAATATCTGTAACTAATGCCCAAGCAACAAGGGATCTCTTTTTGTCAGAGATAGATGGTAATGGAGTCCCTTCCTTAAATATTTGTTAAAGTCTAAATTTACAACACTGTTTATTAGCTGGTAGAAAGCCTGCTCAGTAGTAGTGAATACAAACAGGAAAAGCATAAAGAAATGACAGCAATCTCATCTTAGGGATCTTAGCTATGGCTCAGGTATCTTAGGTAAAACTAACCTAGGTGGCTCATCCAAAGAGGTTTTTTAAGGCAAATTATTTAAAAGTATATCATTAGTGATCCACCTGTAGTTATTCAAGCATCTTAAATAAATCATTACTATTCTTATCTGACCATCCATGTGGCTATGTTGAGTTATAATAAAAAGATCCTAGTAAACAAAGGGGTTGGCAAACTATGGCCTGGGGCTAAATCCAGCTTTTCACTAGTTTTTATAAATAATATTTTACTGGAATATGACCCTATAAATTTATATCTGCACCACCTCTGGTTGTTTTTGAATTACAATGGCAGAGTTAAGCAGTTTCAACTCAGATTATATGGACTACAAAGCCACATTTGCTGATTACTGCCGTAGAGGGTGCTAGGTAACCTCTGAAAAGGTTATATTACCATCTGGAATTTATGCTCATTATTAATTCTTATTAGTAGGCAAGACATTATTGTTAATAATTTTTAAAAAAGATTTTATTGATTCATGAGAGACAGAGAGAGAGAGAGAAAGAGAGAGAGAGAGAGAGAGAGGCAGAGAGAGAGGCAGAGATATAGGCAGAGGGAGAAGCAGGCTCCCTGGGAGGAGTCCCATGCGGGACTAGATCCCAGGACTCCGGGATCATGCCCTAAGCCAAAGGCAGATGCTCAACCGCTGAGCCACCAGGCATCTAAGGCCTGTTAATAATTTTTTTTTCTGTTAATAATTTTGATCATAAAACCTTATATTAGATATATGTCTAAGTACTTTTCTTTTATATATATATCTATGATTCTTTTAACAATCCTGAGAGTTAGATATTGTTACCATTTTACAGATGAGAAAACAGACTGCTTAACTGAAATGGTAAAGTCTGTACTGGAATCCATGCCTTTTGACTGATGTCGAAGGATCTTTCTTCTACCCACCAGATGCCTACTTATAGCATCTTTCCTCCCGGTCAACAGTTCTGTTCTAGTAAGAAATGTTACAGAACTGAACAATCAAAGAAACATTTTAGAGGGCCGCATTTAGGGAGCTAATCACAAGAGCATTCCAAAACCCTTCTGGTGGCCAGACTCAATCCAATGAAACACCCTGCATTACAAACTAGATTGAAATATCTCTGGCCACAATTTACAAATAGCTTGCTTTCTTTTCATAGATTAAAAAAAAATCTAAATAGCAATTAGAGGATTACAAAATAACCATAAGTGTGCAATACCAGTGGTCATTAGGGAAGTGCAGATTGAAACTACAGTGAGATACCAGTTTGCACTAAAATGGCTACAATAAGACAGACAATATCTAACAAATGTTGGCAAGGGCTTGAAAAAACTGGAACCCTCATACACTGTTGGTATGCAGCTTGGAAAATATATTGGCAATTCCTCAAAATGTTAAAGAGTTACTATATGACTTAGTAATTCCATCTTGGTATATTTCCAAGAGACGTGAAGACATGTTCATATAAAAACCTAAACACTATTGTAAATGTATTAAATGTCACTGAGCTGTTCACTTTAAAATGGATAGTTTTATTTAAAAAATAAAATAAAAAAAGGGACGCCTGGGTGGCTCAGCGGTTTAGTGCCTGCCTTTGGCCCACGGTGTGATCCTGGAGTCCCAGGATCGAGTCCCACACCGGGCTCCCTGCATGGAGCCTGTTTCTTCCTCTGCCTATGTCTCTGCCTCTCTCTCTGTGTCTCTCGAATAAATAAATAAAATCTTTAAAAAAATCAAAAAAGGGAAAAATCTGTAAGCTAATGTTCACAGCAACATTATTCATAATAGCCAAAAAGTAGAAATAACCCAAATGTCCAACTAGTAAATGGATAAATAAAATATGGCATATCTACAAAACAGAATATTACTTGGTAATAAAAAGGAATTGAGTGGGGTGCCTGGGTTAGTTGGTTAAGCATCCAACTCTTGATTTTGGCTCAGGTCATGATCTCAGGGTCATAAGATCCAGCCCTGCATTGGGATCTGTGCTTAACGTGGAGTCTTGTCCTTCTCCCTCTGTACTTACCTTCTGCATGTGTGCGCTCTATCTCTAAAATAAATAAATTTTTAAGAATCTTAAAAAAAACAAGGTATCAAGTGCTGATACCTGTTATAACACAGATAAACCCTGAAAAAATCCTCAAAGAAGCCAGACACAGAAGGCCACACAGAAAAGTCAAATCTATAGAGATGGAAAGCAGGTTGGTGGTTGCCAGGGAAGTATGAGGAGTACCTTCAAGGAGGCATGAGATTTATTTTTAGGGTGATGGAAATGTACTATTAGTAGTGATAGTTACACAACTCTGTAAATATACTAAAAGTCACTGATTTGTATACTTAAAATGGGTTACTTTTATGGTATAAAAATTATACTTCAAAAAAATTATACTTCAATAAAGCTGTTAAAAACAGAAAGAATGAAAAGGGCTCCTTAGCCAGCTGAATATCCAGAATTTCAGGTCTATAATCTTGTGTTGGTTGTTAATGATACTGTATGCAACTTTTCATGAACAAAGATAAAGCAGAGAATTTAAAATTAATTGGAAATAAATATAAATTGGACTATGTGTCATTGCTGATTGGGAGTTCTAAATGTACTGGTTTAATCATAGAGTCTGTCTTTGCCTTTTCATGACCTTCAACTGTAGGGACTGAAAATTCTAGTACTCCGGGAGAAGCTAAAGTGTATCGACAGGGAGCACTGTGCATTTAAAAGACCCTGAAAAGTATACCATCAGGAAAGTCATAGTCCACGTCTACATTCTTCAGCCCATGGTCATGTCATCACCATATGCTGTGCACCCGAGTATTTATGGCCTGAATCACACATGGAGCCAGTCTTATCTCAGCAACCATGTTGTCTGCAGCAACATAAGATAAAACTGTGTCAACGATAGGAGTGTGTTGTTTAAATGTAGGTTTTCGTTATTGGATATAATCACACTAGGTCAAAGAAACTTCATATCATTTATCTGGTAATGTGTTATTTGTTTATTTTATAGTGCAGAAAAGACAGGAATCAACTTCTTTGCATCTGATCCAAGGCAGATGGTGAAGCTAAAAGCTTAAGTGTTTAAAGTGGTAATGCTTAATACTTAAGTTACTTTTCTATCTAACTGAAGGATAATGATCTCAGAGTTTGTAGAAGTAGCAGACACTTTTTGGTCCACTTGAAGTTGGAATGAGACACCTGGCCTGTTATTTTAGTCTCACTCTGTTCCCGCTAAGTAAGGTCACCGGGTAAAGTCATTTTTGGTACAGTGATTTGTTAGATAAGACAATTATGATTCAAATAAAGGACTTGTCACTGTGGGTTTCACTTCTGTACCTCTGCTGAACAGGTTTCTCTGGCTGTGAGCTTATATGCTGGGAAGAATTTGCTAGGCTCTTGGAGTTGCCCTTAATGCCATCCTTCTCTCTGAAGAGAACTGTTTTATCTTTAACAGTATCCCTCGGGGGAAATCCGACACAGAGAACTATTTGAGATACTTGTATTTCTCAATCCTGAGGCAGGAAAAGTACTCTGAAGAGATTGCAGGGTTGGAGGTAGCAGATGCAACAGCAAACTGTGGGCTAGAAAAACCAGGAGAACAAATTTCTTTCCTGACTTTTGTGCTTTATCCCACAACTATTATTTAGACTGTAAATTCCTTGAAATTAGGGACTTTATCTTTTTTGTTTTTGTATCCCTAGGACCTAGTACAGTGCCCATGTAAGTGCTAAATAAACAAATGAATGCATTCACAAAAAATAGGTGAATTATGTGCCATTGTCTGGATTACAAGGCTCTACTCCAGGCTTATGAATGCCAAGAGAGAGGGATGCTGATCCTATAGAGTTCTTAAAAGTTTTGAAATTATTGGGAGAAAAATTAGGATTATAATTTGAATGAAGAAATGGGAGAAGTAGCTCAAAGAAAGGTTATTGCTGGTTCCACATAAACAATTGGAAAACCATAACATCAGGAATATTAAAATCTTTATAAAACTCTAAGAAAATTGAGAGAGTAATTGCTCTCAGTGCCTTTTTTTTCAGACATTGTGAAAATCTGCAACTAATTGCTATAGCACGACTGTCTTCAGGAGACGGTAAGTCATATATGGAGTACACATATATATGTGTCTACTTCTTACCTAAATGATTATACTTGTACATCTCCTGAAAAGGCCTAGCAATCTGCTAAACTGGGAGATGACAAATGTGGTTCTCTTTCCAAAGGCCTGAAGAGGAACAGGCCACAAATTTTAGGGGATGGATCAATTCTACAACAAAAAGCAGGGACTACACTGAAATGAGAGTAACTTCATACATAGTGTTAAAGAAAACCTGCTGGAGCTAGAAAGGAAAACTTAACTTCTCTAATTACCTTAAAAATGTGTGCTTTGAGGATGTGATGTCCCAGTTCAATAGTCTGCTGTCGGTTTAGTTTTCCCTCTTGGCGGGAAAACCAGAAAGCAAGTAATGTGTGACCACTCCTGCAAAGAAAAAGAGACTCATTTTAGAATTTTAATGCTCCAATTCTGCATTGGGTGGGGTATTGTTCATACCTCCAGTGAAACATTGTTTCATTCAACCAGTTTCTAAGAGAGGGGACCTGCTGCTGGGCAAATAATGGGGATTGAAAGGTCCCTAGCTTTTACCAGTCCTTTACCCAGATTACATGTGTGAATATCACAAAATGTCATTTCTAGTTGGCTTACACCCATCCCACACACAGATGGCATTAAAAGATGCATTTTTATTTTCTGTCTCTGTGAACTCCTCTTATTTTACCCGTGCTTTAAATGTCAGTGCTCCTTAGGATCTCCTTTTTGGTTCTAGTCTGTCCCTTCTCCATCAGCTCATCCATCCTGAGAGCCTTCACCACCACTTGTATCTTTTTCTTAATCTAGACTTCTAAGATTTACAACAATATACACTCAACTGTTTGTTGTATTTCTCTACCTCGAGGTCCTACAGTACCTCAAGCTCAACATGTCCCCAGATGAATTAACAACCTCTTTCCCAAGTGAAGTCTTCTTTGATACCCTCTACCTTTCCCGTAGCCAAGAAACAGGGACTATTTTCTTTTTGGTACAAGCATTATAGATTGTGTATCTGTGTAGTAAAGTAAGTAGCACACTATTTCATGCTCTCTCCTCTACTCGACTGAAGGTTTCCTGACGGCATCCACTCCCCCATTTCTTTGATAATGGATCTCCAATCTCTGAAGAAAGAGAAAACTCTCTTTTCTGCCTCTGCATGTTGTCTTATCAGCTCATGATACTCAGAACTGCAATGTCTATCTTGCAATCATGTGGTCTTCTCGTCTGAAGATAAAGTTAACAGAAGGGTTAAACTAAGAGAACTATGGAAATACGAAGTATAAGCCCTGACTTTATGGTATCAGAAGCTGCCCGAAGGTTGGACTTGTTATATGAAGTAACACATTTATTTGTTTAAATCTGAGTTGGAAGTATTCTAGTTCTTCTAGCTCAAAGCATCTTAATGATAAATTCTTCCTTCAAAAAAGGATTTTAGGGATCCCTGGGTGGCGCAGCGGTTTAGCGCCTGCCTTTGGCCCAGGGCGCGATCCTGGAGACCTGGGATCGAATCCCACGTCGGGCTCCCTATATGGAGCCTGCTTCTCCCTCTGCCTATGTCTCTGCCTCTCTCTCTCTCTCTCTCTCTCTCTGTGACTATCATGAATAAATAAATAAAATCTTAAAAAAAGGATTTTATTTATTTATCTGAGGGATGGGGTGGAGTGGGAGGAGGTGTAGAGGTAGAGGGGAGTGAGAACCAAGCAGACTCCATGCTGAGTGTGGAGCCTAACACAGGGCTCAGTCTCAAGACCCCAAGATCAGACCTGAGACAAAAACAAGTCTGATGGCCCAACTGACTGAAACACCCAGGCATCTCTGATTTAATCCTTTAAATGTGAATGTATGTATATATGTGTATGTATATAAGATATGTGTTTATTTCTATTTACATTTATGACAGAAATTCTGAGTTATTTATATTCCCTGGAATGCCTAACACAGTGTATTGCATATAAACGTTCTCAATAACATTTTTTGGAAGCAAGAGAAAATTGGGTATTAAAGAAAGGACGCCAGATCACCTTTGGGATATGGCTTCTTACCACTTTAGCTCTAGCCTATAAGAACTGCAGACACTTAGAACTGTCTCTCCTGCCCACCAGGTTAGTGGTCACTAGAAACCACCAGGTTCTTTATGTTACTGGTAACAAAATTCTTCTATTCCTTTCACTTGGAGTGCCATAGAAGAGGGAAATGAAACCATTATATCAGTTTCAAGTCTAATGAATTAATCAAAAAGAAGGGGAAAAATTGCAAGTACATTTTTGTTGATGATGTTTCCCTGAGAAGAGGCCCAAATATCTTCTGGATGATTTTCTCTCCTATTGAACACTGGCTACTCTGCCAGGTTTAACATTTGGAGATACCTCACACCAAAGTCTGAAAAACATATACATTTTAAATTTCTTTTTTTTTTTTTCAAGCTTCAGTATAGTATCTGAAGTCTAGGGAATGGGACAGCTTACTCAAGAATATTTACAAAGAGATTTCATTCCAAAAAGACTTCAAAAAGAAATTCTACCATGTTTTAACCTTGAGCTTCAAGAGTTTCTGAGTTCTAGTGGATGCCATTCCAACTTATTTCACTGGATAAGATCAACCATAATGGAAAGGAAGTTATTAAATTGAAAAAAAGTCTCAGAGAAGTGTAGCCTGCATGGAGGCATCGGTATCATCTGAAGGTATGAGCCCAGATTGTTTCACATTCACAAAGTCTGGGAATTGCTATTGAACTTTTATTTATCATTTGAAAGCCCAATTTAGCTGGTAGGCTATTTTAAGAGTATATTAGAAAATGACATGCAATATTTATAAAGTGCCCTATCTCAAGTTCTCAAAATCCTATCCAGTTATTAACACTGATATTACTGTAGCCTCCCTGGTATAAGAATTATTACTTCAAGTGACTCATCCACAGATTCATCTACATAGTACTACAACCCCTGAATACAGGCCTCTGACCCACTACCTAAGCTTCAGGCCATGCCCAGCAGAGTTAAGATAAAAAACTCACATCTCACAAGGAAATGAATTAGACACAGAACTGATGTTGAACTGCTTTCATTTTACTACCATAAATAAGAATTTCTGGTAAGATGTTTGCATTTCTTTAGTATGCATTTTAGCTAGCTAGAGAGGACAGTGTTTGCTTTTGCTTTTGTTGATCTGGCACTGAGGAGAAACAGCAAGCAAAACAGATCAAGGAAAAGATTAAGTGAGAACTGTGGTTCATTTCTTTTTGGACATAAGCATATCTCATTATTCATGAAAGAATGGTTCTGATTGGACTCTGAGTTTAGAGTGTTCAGGACATGAAGGAAAACAGCAATTTATGTCATATACTAACATTTCCATTTGTCCCTTACTGTTCTGATAAGATATGGTGCCACTGGCTAACCTACCCTCTGAATGTGTTACACTACATTTGTCTGTGTTTATTTCTATTTTTTTTAAAAGATTTTATTTATTCATTCATGAGAGAGGCAGACAGAGAGGCAGAGACATTGGCAGAGGGTGAAGCAGGGTCCCTGTTGTAGGGAGTCTGATGGGAGACTCAATCCCAGGACCCTGGGATCATGACCTGAGCCAAAGGCAGATGCTCAACCACTGAGCTACCCAGGTGCCCCTATTTCTATTTTTCTGATTATTTGCTCACCCCCCCCCCCCAAGCCTTACTCCTTTTGACTCCTAGCCTCGCCATTACCAGCAGCCTTGTAATTGGTTGTATTTTAGCCTTTGAACTCTTTTTCTTTTTTTCCTCCAGCAGTAGGCCCTATTGACTACCTCCCCTGGAACTCTTTTCTCTTGACATCTGTGACACCACCCTGGTACTTTTTCTCCCATTTTCTTCAGTGATGTAATTTCTTTGCTTTATTTCCCATTTCTTCTTATTTCACAGGTCTCCTGGCTTCAGCTCTCACTGCACTGACATCTCTAGCACAGACATATTGTTTTGCTTCTCTAATTGCCTACTGGATCTATCTTCCTTCAAATGATCATTCAAATAACCTGTCATATGACACTATTTGAAGTTGAAGCTTTCTGAGAACCAAATCCATTTAGGATTTATTTTTTAATATATTGCCAGTCACTCAGGTTTAAAATCTATCAGTTGTTTTCCTCCTCTCTTTATACTTTCTCTCTTGGATAACTGCAAGAGCCTTATTCTCTCCACTGCCTGCTCCCTGGCCCATGCCAATAATCTACAGTGCAGAAACCTGATAAAACGTCTGCTCAAAATTCTTCATTGGCTTTATACCTCCTCCCATACATAATCTAAACTCCTTAGCATGGTATTCAAAGGCTCTCCATATGTGTCCCTTGTCTATTTGTCTGTCTTTACCTACTTACCTTCTGCTTCTAATTTCAGATGGAGTAAATTATTCTAGGGTTTTATTTTATTATTTTTTAAAAAGATTTTTAAAATTTATTTATTCATGAGAGACAGAGACAGAGAGAGAGAGAGAGACAGAGAGAGAGAGAGAGAGAGAGAGACAGAGAGAGAGAGGCAGAGACACAGGCAGAAGGAGAAGCAGGCTCCATGCAGGGAGCCCAATGTGGGATTCGATCCCGGGACTTCAGGATCATGCCCTGGGCCGAAGGCAGGCACTAAACCGCTGAGCCACCCAGGGATCCCCTATTCTAGGGTTTTAAACACGCTCTCCCTCTGCCTATAATTCTCTTTCCCATTTAGTTCATCAGGCAAACTATTTCTTATTCTTTAAGTCTCAGTTCACACCATCTCTTCTGTGAAGCCCTCCCTGGTCCCACCAGATAGACTCAGGGGCTCCTTCCTTCAGATTCTTGTACTTGGTACACACTTTCATTACACTGTCTGTATATCAGTCTTCCCATGAGACTATATGGAGGCTGGAAGCCTTTTCACATATGTACTCCTAGGCAATAGGAATACATATTTGTAGAATGACTGAGTTAGTAATACTGTAAAGTTGTAAACTACCTTATGGTTTTAAAAATCTTTAACAGTTTTTTAGATTCTCACAAACACCAATACTATAGGCATTGGTCTAAATATTACTCCTAATATTATGGTGGAAGACGGAAATTTGGCAAGACTGAAGGATAGCTCCCAGCTCATGTGGCTGGGATCTAAGAGCTGGGATGAGAACCCAGGGTTTTCTGAGACCCAGTTCCATTAACACACTGATGAGATTAGCAACTTGATTTTTATTTCTCTGAAAAATGGACATATCTGTGTGAAAAAATCAGCCAATATAAAGAGCAATGTATTCACTTGTAATGGTATAAACCCTGAATTCTTAACATAATTAAAATCAGCAATTAATTTTGACATTTTTTGATAGGCATTTTGGGAGAGACTAGTTAAGAAACAGAGGGAACCTTCATCAGTGTCACATGATATGGTATGA